CTCTTCCTGCCCGGTAGGATGTCACACAGTGACTTTTACTGTTTGTTGATATTTTTTCCCCCTTTTTCAAAGTTTCCTAATATTTGTCAGTGGGCCTTTTCTTCAGTTTCCAAAAATCAAAAGCCTCACCAGAACTGGTTTCCTGCCCAGTAGGCTGGGAGGGGGTTTTTGGTTTGTTTTGTACTCGACTTTTTGCATTTGTGTATAATCATTCCTGAACCTGCCTGGGCTGTAAGTTATTTTACACTGTTTAGGACTGAGGTACATGACTTCTACATAAAGGTGCTTTGCCAGCTACTCCTTCATCAACAAAGGCATCCTAATTTCATGGCTAATCTGTTTCTTTGTCATTATTTGTAAATCCTGTTAATTGTAAATCAAATACAATGTTGTTTTTTCCACCAAGTGTCATGGGATCTTTACTGAAATGGGAGGTGGGTGTTGAAAGGGGTTGGTAATGCTTCCTCTAGGGGTGATAGAGCAGCAGCGTCCATCAGTCTGCGGTTGGTAATGGAGGAGCACAGCACATCCTGCAGATGGTATCCCTGACATCATGCCCTTTTTATGGGCATTTGCTCTGAAAAATGAGAGTTCTCTTGAGAAGAGAGGAGGTAGTGCAGCATCCCGTAGCGAGGTCTGGCCTGATGAAAATCCGCCTTGGGACCTGAAAGCCAATTAAAATACAAGCTCAGCAGCACCTCTCCAGAGACATCAGACAGCCCTGCTTGAGCAAGTAGGGCTTTCAGAGGGGACATTACCTGTCCCCAGCCATCAGTGACTTGATGCAGAGCAGCTGCAGGTGATGGTAAGCAGCCCTGGGCTGTGGCAATGCTGTAGCAGGATCTTTCTTACCTGTTAGACAAGCATATGTGTCTGCCGGCCTGTGTGTGTGTGATGGATCCATTGGTCACTCTTCGGTGCCCTTTTTTTACACCCTGGGAAATTTGCACTGCAGTGCTGTCTGCCAGGGAACACGCGGACAGATAACTGTGAGCAGCTGCAGCTACAAAGGAGACTTAATGCCAGTTCTTCAGCTTCTCTAAGTCTCCTCTCCTGAAAGTACAGAGTTGGAATTTGAATTGAAGAACTGAGCTGGTTTATTTTATTCTTTCCCCTTTTGGCAAAGCTCTCCCAGTGCTTGTTTTTCCACTCTGGTGCTCTGTTTTGTCCAGGCCTAGTTTTTGGCTTCAGTTTTCCCTGCGTTTTAGCTATCTGATTCTTAAAGGCTTCATGCTCCTCCTTTGGTTTCTGCTGCTCCTGCCATCTGGTTCATCTGCAAGATAAAAGAAAAAAGCTCACTGGGGGTCTCCCTCCTTTTCATCCCCTCTGCAGCCCCTCTAAGGGGCACTTCTTTGAGCAGAAGAACCTTCTCCCCTTGTAACAGGAGCCACTCTACTCCATAGCAGCAGCTGTGAACAAAACTCCCTTGCTTGGACATCTCCCAGCCACAGTTCTGAGGTGGGTGCGGGCTGTCAACCACCACCAGCAGGTCTGAATCCCATTGCTGACTTCAGCCTCTCCAAAGGGTTTGCCTGTCTCCTTGCCAGCAAACAAGCAAGGAGAGATCTCAGATGATGGGACAAGGTGCCTGCCCCCACTTGCCTAATGCCAAGTAAGTCACGCAACTGAACAGGATTTTGGTTTTTGTCTCTGGCCGGGAATTTACTCTCTATTCCTTAGTGCCAGGTTTCCCTCTGACACCTTCCTAGACCTTTTTGCTGCTCTCTCCATGTCACAGATTTATAAGCAAGTGGTTAAGAGTGGAGGAGACCTCGGCTAGCTTGCATATGTAAGGCATAGTGCTTCCTCAAGATGGTTTCTCTCATCAGTCTGTTACAGCCATACTCGAGCTTCCCCCTTCTGCAGGCTGCTGTGTTGGACACATGTTTCTCAGCCTGCTCAGTCTGAGTGGTGTTTAAATGCACTCTAAAGCTGGCCTTTCTGGGAACCTTTTGAAGACCAGCAGAGCCATCACTATAAACAAAAACATACAGGGAATTCAGAAACTCAAAACTGGAATTCATAAATTCCCAAATTCCCAAACTGTCATATACGGGAGGATTTTTAGCCAGCTTCATAAAGACTTGAAATGGCTCTGGGCTTGAAATTCAGCTGTCCTGGACTTATCAGCACTGATGAGATTTTGACCAGTACTTTACTGTTCCAGGTCCTCAAGCCTTGTTAGTAATGCAACCATTTTCAACCATAGTATGCCCTGGTAGTATGTGCCTGCGCAGCCTAAAAATAAATCTCTGAATGTGATCAGGAAACCCCTCTTTCACATGCTTGCTATGTGTGCAACACCTCAATTTACCCTGATAAACTAAGATTCTGATCAGGGTTCCCATTTGTACCTAAGCATGTGATGTAATGGTTCTCTGAGGACTTCCTCTCTAAAGAATTTGATCTTAAGCAAAGATTGCCTTCTCTTCAGACTTTTTTGGAGTCTGTTTTCTTCTCTTAGAAAACACTTATGGGGGAAGTTGTTTGGTTGGGTTTTTTTCTTCTGTCTAGAAAGAACCTGTCAGAACAATGAGACAGTCAATTTCAGAAGTTTAAAGGAGGATGTCTGGCTGCCACTTTTCTACCAACTGCTGGCTTGAGTCCTGTGCTATTCTGCTTTATGCTCAGAGGGGTTGAAATTTGGCACTTTGAGTCACTAGAGTTGCTGCACTGGAAATCTCTGCACTGTGGTCCTTGTGACTTGTTTTCATCCCTCATTTGCAGCTCAATGCAGTCAAGCTCAGTGCCTGAAGCTTTCCAGGTTCTCTGTTACACAAGTTCCTCTCTTCTTAGAGGTCTGCTTTGCCAGATCTGCCTGGAGCATGGGATTCCCTGGAGCTGAATGACAGCAGCCTACAAGCTAAAATGATCAGTAATTCTGTTTTCTCAGGTTCTGGGCTTACCTAGGCTGTCTTTCTGTCTTTTTTATTTTAAGAAACCCTCCTTCAGTTGATGCATGATGAGTTTGAAAGATAGAATTGCCACAGTTGGTCTTTCAGCCTTCCTCTTTTGTTAGCCTTTGCCTTGATTGGGCCTAAAAATGATGGTGGAAGTCTTGGTGTTTGAAAATCCATGCAGAAGAGAAGGAAAAGAGACTTTCCAGTCCTGCAGTTATCAGGAAGTTTTTAAGGGCTTTGTTTGCTTCAAATCGTGTCCCCTTATGGCTCAGTGGCAAGGAGTATTTTTCCATCCATTAGAGAAGAAAGTGGCTTCTCCTGTGCAGGCTTGTAATAACCATCCACGCTATGTAAGATCACTGTCATCATACCTGTCTTTCAGGGCTGACTTTTGTCTTGCCGGTGCATACTGCTTGCTGCTGCTTGTCGTTCCCAAAGAGGACAAATCCTACTATCATTCATAGCCAGGCAATCAAAAGCTATTTCATTTACTCATGTATTCCCGTTCCTTTGCTGCTTTTCAGATAATTGCCATTTGAACCAGAAGAGAGTTTGCATGCTTTCCTTCTTTTTTTTAAGCTTTTAAAGCACCTATGTGTCTTAACAGATTGAACACTTCAGAAAGAAACTATTCCTTCAGTGGGACAGAGGACAATAGCTCTCGTACAGCTGTATGTGGCTCATCTTAAAAGGAAATAAAAATCCCACCATGAACCACACACTGTGTTTTGAAATCCTTTCTTCAGTGCTCTAATTCTGAACAATGTTTTTGGCTTATTTAATTCTCCTCAAAATTGAATGTTGAACAAAACTCTTTTTTTTTTTCTTTTAATCTACTGTAATAAGAAAGGAGTGAAATGAAAAATGTATTCCTTTGATACCCTTAATCTTTCCTCTCCTGTGGCT